TTTCTAAAACCAAAAGTAACTAATTACTATTGCATTGACTAATTACTATTGCATGATTAAAAAGTAGCACAAATTTTGAATTATTTATGCATTCACTAATTACTATTGCCTGATTAACATCAATCTCTCATTTCTGTCATTTTTAACTTACATGTTGCAAAAGTCAAATTAATGGAAGAAAAATACATTACAGCTAGCCTGTCTACAGTCTGGTACACAGCTAGGCCGTTGGAGACGAGTCTGTCCTCGAAGTTTTCTAAGATATAACAATGGAAAAGTAGTTGAAGCTTAATTATAAAAAAAAAAGAAAGTGATGGTTAGTAGTGTTAGAATACAGATGAAGGTGTCGGTTGTTTGCTAAACAGAAACTCTTGAATGGACATAAATTAACTTAATCAACACCTCATATTTACACATCACTAGTAAAAAAATTACAACTAGTAAAATAAAAATGAAAAATGAAAGAAACCTTGCAATCTTCTCCCCCAAACACGCCTGGGAATTGAAGCTCACTGCTCACCCAACTCATCCCTTGCCATGCCATCAATTTGTTATGAGAAATTTCCGTTATTTGATCTTTAATGCTTAATCAAACCTTAATAGTATATTTGGATCGGAAATTTAAATGAAGTAATTAATTTATTTGAAGAATTTCAAATTTTTTGAGGTAAAATACCTTGTTTGGATGGAGAATTTATAAGGAATTTGAAATTTAAGTATTTGTGAAAATTCAAAATAGTAAAATTTCAAATTCTCCCAAAAAAATAAGAATTTTAAATTTCTCATATTTTTTTTATTTCACTTATATATTTTATTTTATCTCTTATGTCTTCATATTTTTAATTATTGAATATTCAAAAATATTTTTAAAATTATTAAATATTATCTAATATTAATTTTTAAAATTATTAAATATTTACAAATTAGCTAATATTTATTTTTATAAAATTTAATTTAAGAATCTCAACATATAAATATATTTTTAAAATCAGATTTACCATGGTAGAATCAAATTATCATATCCAACTCAACAATTTAAAATTTGAGAAATTTGAATTGACTTGTCCAAATAAAATATTTTAAGAATGATAGAAATTGAAATCAAAGAAATTCAAATATAAAAAATTTAAAATTTCTTAAATTTGTAAAATTCCTCGTCCAACCAAACACACACTATAAGTGTTTCACGATAATGATACAATTGATCGAATTTCCTTGTTCTTTATTAGTTAGAATTTGGTTTGAGGTTAAAACTGAATTCTATTATAATCTTTTTTAATGTAAATTTACGTTAAAAATAAAGTAGATAATATGTAATACTATTAAGAATTTTTAAAGAAATTGATAGTTAATTTTGATTTTATATGAAGATATATCTTATCTTAATCTAAATTTTTAATTAAAAAAACGAAACCCTAAGCACTACAATATAGCTTTGCTTAACCTTTTTTCTTGCTTTGATCTTCTCCCTCACTAATTGTTTGGCTCACATTTACCATTTATTTAAACTTGTTTCGGTCAAACTCATGCCTTAAACTTCACAATTCAAAGTTCCCGCACACCCTTCACTAATCACGCTAAGTGTTTGCCATGCCTACAAACCACTATCAAATAAAGTTTTTTTAAAGATACACATTCATCTTCATACATAAATTTAATAGTCTATATACATGAAAAAAAAACATTGCTATTTTTTTATTGTAAATTATTAGGATCACCTTAATAGAGATATGAATAATATGCACGAGATTATCAATTTTTAATTTTTGTCATAGTATTGTATACAAAATAAAAAATAAAAAATAGACAAATGAAAAAAGAATTGACATTGTTATTATATCTATACTTCTATTCTGATAATATAAAAAAATTACCACTTGATGTTCATAATTTTTTTTAACTATTTTATCTTTAATGACTAATACAAAAATTTGTCATAAAAACTGCCATAAATTAAAAACAGCAAAAATTGCTATAAAAAATATTTTCTTTATTTTTCACGGAGTTACGAAGTACTTTTTCTGTTGCGAATTAGAATAATAAATATACTTTATAAGGGTATTATGCTCCAATATAATTTAAGTTGCTATTATATCATTCTAAAATGATTTACAATATTCTTAGGCAAACATGAGTAGTGCATATTATTACAACAACAAAAAAATCGTGTAATGACACACATCATATAGTGAATTAGTGACACAATATTTGTTAATAAAATTTACTTTTATATATACTATAGATATAATATATGTTGGTATATTGTTAAGAAGTGTAGATATAAACTATATAACACACAATATATATTGTTAAATCTCATTCAGAATACATACTAAAATTGTGTGTAATTATATATCAAATAGATTTATATCTACATATATTATACTAATAGTGATAATTTTTGTATGATTAGGGTTTAGGGTTTGAACAAAATAGAGGTTTGTTAATGTTAATATTGATTTTCATTTAAAATAATATAATTGATTATAAGTTTAAATATATTTTTATTAGTCCTTGTAAAATGAGCGATTTATAATTTTAGTTTTTTTATAAAAAAATTCTTTATTTTTATCCTTCTAAAATTTGTTAATATTGTTTTTGATTTTTATAAAATATTTTCAATTTTTGTACAATAAGTAAATTTTGGTTTTGATTCATGCAAGAATATTTTTTTTAATTTTCATATCTCTAAAATTGTAAATTACTATTTTAAGTCCCCAACGATAATTTTAAAATATATAAATAATATTTATTTTAAGAACCTATTAAGTCTTTTAAAAGTGTCACACTAATATTATACCTTTCCTAAAAGAGTTGTGGTCACTTAAAATTCCCCCTAAGGCAAAAATACTAACATGGAGAATGTACTTTGAGGACCTACCAACCATAGGTAACTTGAAAAAGAGGAACATACAGATAGCTCAGAATAAGGAAAGATGCAGGTTCTGTCTTAAGGAAAAAAAAACAACAACACACTTAATTTTTCACTGTAGTAAGGTTGATCAGGTATGGAAATCGTTACAAGTGGGCCAATTTTAATACGGTATTACCAGCAACTACAATTCAACACTTCCAACAACTTCCAGGACACAACTACAAAAATAAGCAAACATCAAGATGGAAAATAATGTGGATGGAAGCTGTCTACAATATTTGGATGACAAGAAACAATAATATCTTCAGAGGACGAAACAATAATATCTTCAGAGGACAGAGAATTGATATACAACAATTCGAGTAGAAAATTAGATTTACAACTTGGTCATGGTTGAAAATGGATAAAAATTTTCCATTCAACTATGTGCAATGGGAGATAACACCAAAGGTATGCATTACAGAAGATGAAGGATAATGATGGGAAGACTTACAAGGGGACACTAAGGGCAACACAAGAGGTAATAATAATCTAAGTGGTTGAGTGAAAAAAAGGGTTTTATACTGGGGCATTAACTGATCGGTGGATAACAAAATTAATGAGAGTGGATGGCAACCACTATTATCTTAAGGGTGGATTTGAGATTCATTATTTTACTTTGCAATTTTGGGTCAAATATACTTTTTAATGGGATAGTAAGATTTTGGGTTGACTTTGTACAAGCTCATAACCCACGATAGGTTATCGATCAAGCAATTTTGTTTGGTTAGTAGGTAATTTGGGTAGTTAATCTAAATTACCCCTAACCGATACCCTATAAATATGGGATTATGACACCCCTAGTGCCATAATATAATTCTATTTGGCCATCTAAAAAATAATCAATAATTGTGAATAATACTTAAGATAATCACTTTAATAAACAAACAAATATTCAAAAATGATACATAATAATGAAGACAAATAATAATTCTAAATTTTAGACGATAATTTTTTTTTACAAGACAAAATAAAACTTACATATTTTACAAGTACTAAAATTATATATTTCAACCTTAATTAATTATATTGACTGATATGATAAATCTAATCATGACGTATAATTATTTATTTAGGTTAATTATAATGATGATGTTGATAAATCAAAATATGATCAAATAGCTTTTGGTTGATAGTACTAAAGTTAAATATTTAGAATATTATACTTACATATTAAACATTGGAAGAAAAAAATTATAATTTTCACATGTTTAATAATTTTCATTTATACATTGACTTTAATTTAGGAGAGTCATAGACTTTCATTTAGGAGGCTAACTTAATTAAGAAGAATGGTGAACAATATCAAGTAATTGATATACCAAAGATAAATAATTGTCTGAATTTAATATAGTAAGAAAGAAAAAACACATTATAGAAATTAACAAATTATGATTGTTTTTGTTAGAATATTCAATCTAATTAATGTTGTTTATGAGACTCCGATTGTGGGATTATCTTCTAAGAAACCGGTGAAAGCAACTAAAGTCACTTTCTCAACAAACCCTTTTGCAAAAGACAAATCATCAAACGTTGAAACCACGTGTTGCCGAAGAACTAGGGACACAAGATTCCACCACTGATTAAGTTGACACAAGATTCCACCACTGATTAAGTTAATGTATTAAGAAAGTGATAGTGAATTAAATAGTCGAAAAGTAAATTAGTTTCAACATTATTCATTGTTATGTTTTTATTTTTCTTCTTATTTTATTTACGACTTATATATTTTCACAAAGTCTAGTTGAATACGGTTAACATCAATTTATGATTAATCGATGTAAGACTTTTTGTTAAATACATTTTTTTATTATTAAAAAACCACTTTTAAGATCATATACAATTTTAAAACTAACTTCAGGCCATGAAAATAAAATTATAATTTTAAAACTGATTATGCTTTAAATCTGGTTTCAAAACAAGTTATTGGCTCGTAATTTAAAATCAATTTTGAGCTATGAACTGATTTTAATGTGCAAGTTTAATTATTCTAATATCCTCTTTACGGTGTTTATAAAACGCAAACCCCGTATCAATTTTTATACGAAAAGGGGAACAAAAAATATTATTAATCTATTTGCACTTGTATACTTGAAACTTGAATGTTGAAACTTGAAACCCCCTGCGTTAATGTGTTTATACTTTATAGAAAGCAAACCTGAACTAAACGTCGATACCCGCTCTCCTGAATCCTGATCTTGTCTTGACTTAAATCTCTTAGTCTCAGTTTTCGATTCCTACTTGCATCAAATATGGAACCATCAACTCACCTGAAAAAAGCCATTAATGAAATCCTCGTTGAGATACAGACAATGTTCGGAGATCGTTCCTCGGGTGAAACCGAAATGAAGGAGCTAGTGAAAAAGATCAAAGATGAGATCGAAAAAAGCGACGTGAAAGCCTCAGTTATTTTGAAGCAACGTCTTGGCAAGGTTCTGACGGATATGGAGGACTTGGATGGCGAATCCTCTTCCAACTTTGCCTCGAGAATGCGTTGCATCCCAGTCGGTTCTTCAAAGAGTCGCCTCAACGATGCTGAAAAAAAACAAGTTCTGGAGGACCTTGAACGCGTTGCACACAAGGCAAAGTATCTGAATGGAGAGAGGAAGGAATTGGTGGGTGAATCTGAGGAGGATTTGGAATTGGTTGGGAGAGAAAAGGAAAAGGAGGATATTGTAGATCAACTCGTGTTGCTGAGGAGGAGCGGAGATGAGAGAAGCCATGTCCCTGTGATTACCATTGCAGGGCTTAAAGGAATAGGAAAGACAAAACTTTCCCGCCATGTCTGCGAGGTTGAGAAAGTCAGAAAACATGTTGGCTTGCCAGCTTGGGTCATTGGTACCAAACATAACAGTACCTTTGAGGCAGACTCCATCGCAAAACAGGTCATTCGGTCAGTGGTACCGGTAGCAGCTACTGTACCATCTCAAAAAATTCTCAACATACTTGTAATTCTGGATGGTTGGAGAGTTGAGATTGAAGACAAAGATGTGAAGGCGTTGCAAGAGAAGGTAAAGGAGCATTGGAGAGTTGAGATTGAAAGCATAGATGTGAACGCGTTGCAGGAGAAGGTGAAGGAGATTTGGAGAGTTGAGATTGAAGGCATACATGTGAAGGCGTTGCAGGAGAAGTTGAAGGAGGATGGAATAGTTGAGAATGAGATTCTAGATGTGAAGGTGTTGCAGGAGAAGGTAAAGGAGCTTTGGGGAGTTGAGATTGAAGACAAAGATGTGAAGGCTTTGCAGGAGAAATTGAAGAAGAAGGGGAGAGTTGAGATTGGAAATGAGGAGGCGTTGCTGAAGAAGGTAAAGGAGCATAGGAGAGCTCAGATTGAAGGCGTAGATCTGAAGGTGTTGCCGAAGAAGTTGAAGGAGGCTCATCCACGTGTTAGGGCTATCATGATAACTACACGTAGCTGTCTCGTGGTAAGGAAAATTGGTGCTAGTCCGGTTAAGTCTTATGTTTTGGCGGGACTTAATGAAAAGGAAAGCGTGTCTTTGCTTGAGAAAACTCTTGGAAGAGGTGCAGGCGATAATGTGAGCGTCACAAAGATTGTGGGGCAGTGCAGAGGCGTCCCTCTAGCTATAATAGCCATGGCAAAATGGCTCCACTCTCCTCGTTCCCAAGAATTGACGCCAGAGGAGCAACTGATGTGCTCCTATTACGACGAGGGGTTTCCCCACTTATGCTTCGCTTATTTTTCCTTGTTTCCTCAGGATTTCTTGTTTGATGCGGAGAGGTTAATTCATCTCTGGATGGCAGAAGGGTTTCTTGGCTCAGAACCAGAAAAAACCGGGCGTAGATATTTGAGGGACTTGGTTGGAAAATCCATGTTTCAAGACGTGAAGGTGGACGAGTTTGGCGAAGTGAGAAGCTTCAAATTGCACCCGCTAATGCATGGCAAAGCAAGATTGGTGGCCGATAGGGAGAATATCACAATGGATCCAGTCGGGCACAAGGTTCACCGTAAAGTCGAGCGAGTCTCGTTTGATTTGAGCTTAGACTTTTTGCGAGGAATTCCACCTTCTCTTTTTGACAAGGCGAAACAGTTGACAAGCATTCTTTTCTTCACCAACACACAGTCTCGACTTCCTATGCAGTTGGATATGTGCACGTTGGTTCTTGAAAATATCTTCAAGAGCTTCAAGAGCCTGAGCGTATTGGATCTCCGTGACTTGGGGATCGTGGCGGTGCCAAGCTCTATTGGAGACCTGAAGGAATTGGTGTATCTGGATCTGTCCCAAAATAATATGGAGAAGCTCCCTAATTCCATCGCCAAGCTTTCCAAGTTACAAACTTTGAAATTGTCTCGTTGTTACTCGCTCAAAGAATTGCCCAAGGACTTTGAGAATCTACCTCAACTCAAGCATCTTGACATGGAAGGATGCCTTGGTATAACTTTCTTGCCTCCCGAAAAGACCAAGCTGACTTCTCTGCAGACATTGTCTGCTTTTGTGAATATCAAGATCGACCACATTGTAGGCCTTGATGACCTTGCAAATATTAACAAATTGAGAGGACAGTTGCAAATTAGGGTCACCAAGTCCTTGGAAGAGAAAGACCAACACCTTCAGCACCTAAAACTAACATGGGATCTCGATCCGAATCTCGTGGTTGAAGCGGAGAAAGGAAAACGCCCTCAGGCACCACTGGATCGTCTCAAGTCCCATTCTGCCCTAGGATTACTAATCCTTGTGGGCAACATAAACGTAGGTCCCAGCCTTTCTACTTGGCTCACTTCCGGTTCCAATATTCAATTCAAATGCCTTGTTAAGTTAAGCTTGCAGGATTGTCCCGGATGCACATATCTCTCAGAACAGGATCAACTCCCACAACTCAAGATTCTCGAACTTCTAAGGTTGGACAATTTGGTGTACATAGCACAAAAGTGTAACAAAGAGGCAGTTTTCTATAAAACCCTGGAGGAGTTGACAATCTCGGATTGCCCAAAACTCAAAAGTTGGTGGCAAGGGGAGATAAAGGTAAATGAAAGGCCAGTCTTTGGTAGCATTTCAACGCTACATGTCCATCATTGCCCTAACTTAACATGCATGCCTCTCTATCCTCGTCTTGAGGGTTCCACTTCTAGCAGTTTTGGTAAAGAGCTGGTCCTTGAGGGTTCCAGCTTAAAATTGTTGTTGGACACTAGGTCCGTGAGTGTAAACTACCCCATTCCCCTTGAGAACCTTCACATTCAAAATTGCAATCATTTAGAAAATTTGTGTGATGCTTTCCAACATCTGAGTTCACTCCAGCGTCTTACAATTGAGAACTGCGGGAAGATTAATCTTGATGGGGAAAACAATCAATGGGAGGGCCTGAAAAGCCTACGTTGTCTCACGATAAGAGAAATTCCAATTGAGTCCCTTTCATTTGGGGACAACGTTATCACTCTGCGAGAACTCACCGTTCATAACTGTGAGGGGTTAACTTCCATTTCGGATAGCATTGGCAAACTCACATCACTTCGGAGACTGGAGATTTCTAAATGCAACAAGTTGAAGTCGCTGCCCAAAGAAATGAAAAAACTCCAGTCTCTAAAAACCTTGATCATTTTGGACTGCACCTTGTTACTGCCAAGGTGTCAGCGGGAAACCGGCGATGATTGGCCACAAATTAGTCACATAACACATATCCAAGTGAAGTAGACTTTTCAAGACTTCTATACTTAAGCGAAGACAGGTTCAGCTTGTTCTAGTCGGGTAAGTGCATGCATACAAGGTTGGATTGGAAAATGCACAAATTAACCTGTTGATCATACTCATTGAACTCTCCTTACTTGACATTTCATGCAATTGTAATACCATCGCGACTTGGCACTATAGTCAATTAAGATCGATTGTTCGTGTTTTCATTAGTGTTGTCTGATTTGTTTTAGGTACTTAGTCTGCCACATTCATTACATTATGTGTTGTTCAGGTTTTCGGAATGAAGGGGACATGATGATGAATGCACGCATGCTGAATTCTGTGCTACTTTTGCGAATAAGAAGAGAAAGAAGTAATTTACATGATAAGTAATCAGTAATATGATGCAGAAAAAAATGTATTGAAGTCTTCACATGTAATTACCTTGCTCGTAATCATGTTACAAGAAGAAATATTGCTTCCTACAAGACAAACCAAAATCTTTCTTTTAGCATTGAATTGTCTATTTTTTTGTAAATGTATTGAGCCTGTTTTCACTTGGGTGGAATTTGTTTATGAATCAAGTTTCCTTAACTTCTCTTAATTTTTTTATATTATGGGTGTAATAATTTTTGTTTCAATTAAATATTATTACGTTTAGATATAATAGCACACGTACGTACCAACACTGTAAAGACTTTTTTACAAGCCTATCAAAGATTGCCATGTATAAGATCTTGGTTTCAACCAGAAATTAAAGGATATAGTACCTTGGTTTCAACCAGAAATTGATACACAACTCAAGTTCAGCATATTAATTTACAAAAAATTAAGAAAATTTCAAATTTGAGTAAGTAACTCTTTTTTTTTTTTTTTTTCCTTTTCATTAGGTTTTAATAAGTTATGTGTTTTGATATTCATTGTAATATATATATATATATAGAGAGAGAGAAAAAGAAAGAGAGAGAGAGATATAGATAGAGGCTTAATTTATGAGTTAGCACATTCAAAAGAAAAGAGAAAACAAAGACCAACATGGATTCCATTTAGCATTTTTTTTATCATAGATTAAATTTTACCAGGATTAATACTAAATAGTAAATGTGCTGAAGTTATATACACAGCAATTTTGTGATTATTTTATGAAATTTAGAGAGATTTTAAATGAAAATTAGGACATGTGTGTGTTTTTAAAAGTGAGACTTTAGAAAAGAAAGACTAACGCTTATGCTCAAAACACCTTATAAGAAAAATCAGTGGGGGAGATGGTCTGTACATAGGTTTGAACTGGAGATAATCGCTTTTTTTTTTTTTATAACCGGATACAGTGGATCTGGTTACATCTATATATTAAACTACACAAGGAAAAGATTAATCGTTCTTTTTTAATATAATGGATCTGGCTACATATATTAAACTACACATGGCCAAGATTGATACCGCGCTTCGATTCCATGCATTAAAAAGTAGCATAATTTATCCATTCACCAATTACTACAGCATGGTTAGGCTGATGAAAAACAAAATCCTATAGCATCAATCTCGATCTCAATTGGTTCACATTTTCCTGTGCAAACAAGAGATCGATAATCCATGTGGTCGGGAAACATTTCAAATTCGTTAACTTTTAATTTTTGTTTTGCGAAAGTCAAATTTTGCTCATGTGATTCTAACACTGCATCCCAGGTTCGAGATAAGGTAGTCCTCGAACTAATCCAAACCTAATAAAAAAGAAGTCGTTGCAACTTGATTATATATATGATTATTAATAATTAGTATTGATTGGTAGTGTTGGAATACAGATGACGGTACGTGTCAGTTGATTGAGAAACAGGAACTCTCTAGTGGACACAATACTTAATTAACACCTCACATATTTCCACATAACTAGTAAAAAGTGCAACTAATAAAATAAAATAAAAATCAACATTTAAAATATAAATTGATAATTCCTACCTAATAATGATTTAGTAGATCACCATATGTGGCATTTCATTAGGTTTGGAAATAGATTAGGATTATAATTTTTAGTGGGTTAGATTTAGTCTACGACAAAATTATTAAATAATGATCTGTTTGATTTATTTACTTGTTATAAGTTTTTTTTTTTTTTTTTTTTTTTTTTTTATAGTGTGACGTAACTTGAAAGCCTATTTAAGTGAAATGTTTTATAGAGAATTTATAAATAAGTCGATAGTCCTAAATAGGTTGATTATCTAGAGGTGAAAATAGGTGTACCATTGGCCTAGGACAAAATTATTAAGTGGTATATTTTATATAAATTTTATAAATAAGTCTAAAGGTTAGTAGGCCTAGATATTAAATATATATAATTATTAATAATTATATATATTAAATAAGAATATTTAATATCAATTAATATATAATATTTTATATTTTAAATAGGTCAATTTATCAAGTCTAATAAATTATTTAAAGTTTCATTTGTATGTTTTGTATAATTTTATAAGTTCAATTCATCTTCATTAATCTGATAAATTTATATAATGCACAGTATATCTTCATTAGTATGACAATGAAGAATTTAAATTTTGTTTTATAAACTTTTAATTTTAATGCTTTGGATCTTTATATATATATATATATATATATATATATATATATATGAGGGGTTATAATAACACTGATATAACTTTTACTAAGTATTACACCGCTTAATAATTTTATATTAATTGTAAATTTTGTAAATCTAACCGTTAGATTGAAAGTTCACATCTCTTAGATCATATCTACAAAATTTTATATTAATCCAAGATGATTTGATACTTTATTTTTATAAAACAAATTGACATAACATATCAATTTCAAAATACACTAAAATATGTACACTTTGATTACCTTCAATTTGTTCAATTTTAACAAAATTTGATATATACGTATAAAGTGATATGAACTTTCAATCTAACGGTTGGATTTACAAAATTCACAATTAATATAAAGTTATTAAGCGGAGTAACACTTGGTAAAAGTTACACTGGTGTAATTATAACTCCCTCTATAAATCTGCAAATTTTTAAAAATTTAAAAATTATTTGATATTTCATTTCATTAATTCAAATTGACGGATTCTTTTACTACGTTCAATTTTATACTTCGTTTCATTTATACTTCGTTCAATTTTATGATTATTTGTCAATTTGAATTAATGAAATGAAGTCTTAAATGATTTTTAAATTTTTGAGAGACGAAGACTAAGTGACGAAGAGCGGAATAGTGAGAATGTAAGTACACATATGTGAAAGAGATACAAAGACAGGAAAAGAGGATCTATTAGAGAGGAAAAAATTTTGAGACGAAGGAAATGTTATTTTATTGTAAAATCTTAAATTTTATTTTTGTACAATGAAATTTTCTTTCTCTTGTAAATATAAGTGAAATTAACTGAACCATGTGGATATAATGTAAATATAATATGTTTTTCTCTTATTTTTACATTTTTTTAGGTATTTTGTATTTTCTCGTTTTTGAATTTTCTGATTTATTCTTTTATAGGGTATGTTTTTGTGACTTTCTTTCTTGTTGCAAACCAACACTTCGTCAACCAATAGCACTCACAACAGAGCGGTTCTTCTTAGAGTTTCGTGCTTGGTTTCATCTCGTTTAGGAGGTGTATTATCTTAAAAACAACCAATAGCACTCACAACAAGGCGGTTCTTCTTAGAGTTTCGTGCTTGGTTTCATCTCGTTTAGGAGGTGTATTATCTTAAAAAAAAAAAAAAGTTGTATAATGTGAATGAATAAAATGCTTGTCTGATCAATATTATTGATCCATCATAGACCATTTCACTGAGTTCTCCTCCGGAGTAATCGTCCTCAAAATAAATCCACACGTGAAAACTTTGATTACAAACATCTTTGCATGCATCTATTGTTTCTCTTTTTTATTTAACCGATGGGATTTGATAATGTGGAACGTAAAATATGATACATGAGTCTCAACTGTGATGGTACGAGTATAATAACTGGAACGCTCCCCATTATGATGGCTCCCGTTAAGAACTGTTTATATGCCCAATATTTTTTTAGTACTATACCAAGTGCAGCACAAAAGGCAACCATCATAGACACAATAGACAGGAAAAGGAAGAACAGACCAAACAGTAACTTCCATGGTAAACTTTTTGGGAAGTCTTTTTCAGCATAACGCGATGTCATGATCCCAATGAATATCAAGACGGAAGAGGAAGAGGTGAAGAGAGATACTGCATCAGCTACTAGAAAAGTTGTAAATAGCTTATTATTTAAGAAAATGGGCACTCCTGTGTCTTGATTGTTTCCTCCAGGAACAGTGAAGGCCGCGGCAAACATGACAGTAGTGATGAGAACACCAACAAGTGCAAAAGAATTTGCTATTTCTTTTGCCCATTTCTCTCCAGCTTTCACCAACTCCTCGTGCGTTTCACTAAATAGCTCATGAGGCTTCTTATTGTCATCATTTTTGGCTTCCTTACATTTGGGATCCACAACTTTCTCCACTGCCTGCAATGATTTCATCAATGTAAATTCAGTTAAGGAAAAAATGGGCATGCATGCACTATAATAGTCACTGAATTATAGGACCATGTGTTCTCAGATAATAAGAATTTTGACTCTAGCTAAAATATATTTTGGACACTGGAAATTTTATGAAGCAAGCAGATGAGAGAGAAATGAAGTAGGAATAAAATCTTCATTTATCACAAATCAAATATAATCTAAAAGGATTTTCCTATATACCGTGTTTTTTGTAAAAATGACTGAGTATAATATTGTGAATACATTACACTTCTTACATATATTATGTGATGATGCCATGATGGATATCTATATAGAGAGGAAATTAAGATAAATGACCTTAAACCATTGAATTTCTCTTTGCATCTGTAGTGCAGCACCGGGTCTTTGATTAAGATAGGAAGAAGGTCCTAAATGTCCTGCCAGGTGCAACAGATTATTGCCAAACACATCTTTACGAGATTCAATTATATCCTTCCTTCCATTGAGAGTATATATGAGTTGGAACACATTTTTTTTGCGATGAAGAACCGCATACGAAAACACACCTCTCTTATGGCTGTCCAAGCTCCATAAGAGGTCAGGGTTAGCCTTTGTCATGGCATTTATGAACTCGACAAGTCCATGCTTGGCTGCATGCAACATAGCATCGTGCACCGAAGCTTGCTGGAGCTGTGAATCATTAAACACCTCAACACTACGTTGCAAGTAACTCAGTATTTGTAGAACTTGATAATGGGCACATTTTTGTTCATATAATTCCCTAATTCCTGAAAAAAAAAAATGGAGGGACTTAGTGCTGAAGTAGTTACAGAAAATTGAATCGAATTAAGCAAGAAGGAACAACTAGATTATATATCATTTGGTATTACGTAGTACGTACCGAGGATATTTAGAAATTTGAAAAATTGAACGAATACATAAGCAATTTCGAGGAGTACTGGTCCAACTGAACAAATCATTAAAAAAAAAGTAAGTACCAATCAAAGTATATCTAATTATCTATGTATGCGATTTTTAAAAGTAAAGTCGCGCATGGGTGGGTTTTGCTCCAC